AGAACCATGCTTATGCATGGCCAGCTGACAGCCGCAAAGAAACCCAGCCAGCCTGCTCCTTGGCAATGCCAAACACCCACTGAACACCACCCGCAGACCAGCATGTGGGGTGGCTGCTGATGCTCTCTGGCCAACATCAGAAGACAGTAGGAAAGCAGGGCCACCTCCTTGGTGGGGCCTCTGACTGTTCCCACTCCAGGTGCTCACTTTTGCAGTGGGGCAGGAGATTTTTCCCCAAGAGGCTTTTCCCCAGCTGGTGAGAAGCAGCAAAAAACCCAGGTTCCAAAGGTGCTATTTAGCCCCCTCAAGCACAGGGACGGGCACACACTGGGAAGAGGGAAACTGCTCTACACACTAGCCTGGGCATCCACCCATTGTCTTTGGCAAGTCAGGAATAGCAAAGGCTAGACTGGAAGACCTACCCGCAACTCCTTCCTGGGGCTCTAGCGGAACCAGAGCATTGGCCTGAGTGGCCAAGAAGAGGTTCTGGCCCTGAAGAGAGCAGCACTTCCAGCCCAAAGGGAGAACTGCACAAGCAGAACCTCGAAGAGACTCGAACCCTCAATCACCTGGTCCAAAGTCAGGTGCCTTAGCCGGTAGGCCACTCAGTCACATGAGAAACCCTCTCCAAGCACTTCTTTAGAAACGGCGGACACTGCGTTTCTTGGAGCATCTACCCAGGGAATTAGCAAATTTTCCATCTCCTGAAGTCTTTGAAGCAGGACTGGATGCCTTTCTGGAAGATGTTTTCATCAAAACAGGAAGTATTCAGCTCACTAGAATGGTAACTAGATGAAACTGTATGACCCGTATCATAGAAGAGATCAGACTAGATGACCTAATAGTATCTCTCGGCCTTAAAATGTATTGGGGAATAATCAAGAGGAGGAATGAGGAAAAGAACATGCCATTGTTTGTGTTGTACAGATTTGAATACCAGCATTTATCTGCACACCCTCCCGCTGTGGGCACCCTGTCAGCTGTAGCTTTCACGGAACGGAGGAGGAGGGAATTGTTGGAGCAGCCGGGCAGAGCTGGGACTGAGGCACAAAGAGAGGTGCACGTCCAACTTGAAGGAACAGGGATTCCTCATTGCCGTGCCGAGTGTTGTAGGTGGTGTCAATAAAGGCGCACACGGGTGCGTTCTTGTCCAGGGCAGAGTTAAGGTTGCATTGTGGGGGCGAGGTGAACCCTGACGCTGCATGTCCCCTGATAAGAACGGAGGGGCCGGGAATCCCTTACCCAGCGAGGTCACGGTCTCGTAGCTCTCCTGCAGGACGTCGCTGCAGAGGGCTGCGCGGGCTCCAGCTCGGCCCCCTCTGACGCAGCGACATTCACAGCCACCGCCTCGACGGTCACCAGCCCCTGGAAGAGCAACGGCCTGCTGACAGCCCCATCGTCCCCGGGGGAGGGGGGCCGGTCACGGGGGAGGCAGGTAGGGGGGTCGGCACAGTCCCACCCCCCCCATCCCAGCAGCCAGGGGGCAGGGCAGGGTGAACAGTCCCACATGCCCCCCATCCCCGCAGAGAGATGGGGCAGGGCAGGGTGACCAGGCATCAAACTGTGAAAAATCGGGACGCGGGGGTGGGGGTAGGGGGTGGGTAATAGGACCCTATAGAAGAGAAAGACCCCAAAATCAGGGGTGGGGAGTGGGGGGGTAATAGGACCCTATTGAAGAGAAAGACCCCAAAATCAGGGGTGGGAGGTGGGGGAGTAATAGGACCCTATTGCAGAGAAAGGCCCCAAAATCAGGGGTGGGGGGTGGGGGGTAATAGGACCCTATAGAAGAGAAAGGCCCCCAAATCAGGGGTGGGAGGTGGGGGGTAATAGGACCCTATTGAAGAGAAAGACCCCAAAATCAGGGGTGGGGAGTGGGGGGGTAATAGGACCCTATTGAAGAGAAAGACCCCAAAATCAGGGGGTGGGGAGTGGGGGGGTAATAGGACCCTATTGAAGAGAAAGACCCCAAAATCAGGGGTGGGGAGTGGGGGTGTAATAGGACCCTATTGAAGAGAAAGACCCCAAAATCAGGGGTGGGGGGTGGGGGGGTAATAGGACCCTATTGAAGAGAAAGGCCCCAAAATCAGGGGTGGGGGGTAATAGGACCCTATTGAAGAGAAAGGCCCCAAAATCAGGGGTGGGGGGTGGGGGGGTAATAGGACCCTATTGAAGAGAAAGGCCCCAAAATCAGGGGTGGGGGTGGGGGGTAATAGGACCCTATTGAAGAGAAAGACCCCCAAAGTCGGGGGTGGGGGTAATAGGACCCTATTGAAGAGAAAGGCCCCCAAAGTCGGGGGGTGGGGGGTGGGGGGTAATAGGACCCTATTGAAGAGAAAGGCCCCAAAGTCGGGGGTGGGGGGTGGGGGGTAATAGGACCCTATTGAAGAGAAAGGCCCCCAAAGTCGGGGGTGGGGGGTGGGGGGATAATAGGACCCTATTGAAGAGAAAGACCCCAAAATCAGGGGTGGGGGGTGGGGGGGTAATAGGACCCTATTGCAGAGAAAGGCCCCAAAATCAGGGGTGGGGGTGGGGGGGTAATAGGACCCTATTGAAGAGAAAGGCCCCAAAATCAGGGGTAGGGAGTGGGGGGTAATAGGACCCTATAGAAGAGAAAGACCCCAAAATCAGGGGTGGGGAGTGGGGGTAATAGGACCCTATTGAAGAGAAAGGCCCCAAAATCAGGGGTGGGGAGTGGGGGGTAATAGGACCCTATAGAAGAGAAAGACCCCAAAATCAGGGGTGAGGGGTGGGGTGTAATAGGACCCTATTGAAGAGAAAGGCCCCAAAATCAGGGGTGGGGAGTGGGGGGTAATAGGACCCTATTGAAGAGAAAGACCCCAAAATCAGGGGTGGGGGGTGGGGGGGTAATAGGACCCTATTGAAGAGAAAGGCCCCAAAATCAGAGGTGGGGGGTAATAGGACCCTATTGAAGAGAAAGACCCCAAAATCAGGGGTGGGGGGGGGGGGTAATAGGACCCTATTGAAGAGAAAGGCCCCAAAATCAGAGGTGGGGGGTAATAGGACCCTATTGAAGAGAAAGGCCCCAAAATCAGGGGTGGGGGTGGGGGTGTAATAGGACCCTATTGAAGAGAAAGACCCCAAAATCAGGGGTGGGGGGTGGGGGGTAATAGGACCCTATTGAAGAGAAAGGCCCCAAAATCAGGGGTGGGGGGTAATAGGACCCTATTGAAGAGAAAGGCCCCAAAATCAGGGGTGGGGGGTGGGGGGGTAATAGGACCCTATTGAAGAGAAAGGCCCCAAAATCAGGGGTGGGGGTGGGGGGGTAATAGGACCCTATTGAAGAGAAAGACCCCCAAAGTCGGGGGTGGGGGGTAATAGGACCCTATTGAAGAGAAAGGCCCCCAAAGTCGGGGGTGGGGGGTGGGGGGTAATAGGACCCTATTGAAGAGAAAGGCCCCAAAGTCGGGGGTGGGGGGTAATAGGACCCTATTGAAGAGAAAGGCCCCCAAAGTCGGGGGTGGGGGTGGGGGGATAATAGGACCCTATTGAAGAGAAAGACCCCAAAATCAGGGGTGGGGGTGGGGGGTAATAGGACCCTATTGCAGAGAAAGGCCCCAAAATCAGGGGTGGGGGGTGGGGGGTAATAGGACCCTATTGAAGAGAAAGGCCCCAAAATCAGGGGTAGGGAGTGGGGGGTAATAGGACCCTATAGAAGAGAAAGACCCCAAAATCAGGGGTGGGGAGTGGGGGTAATAGGACCCTATTGAAGAGAAAGGCCCCAAAATCAGGGGTGGGGAGTGGGGGGTAATAGGACCCTATAGAAGAGAAAGACCCCAAAATCAGGGGTGAGGGGTGGGGGTGTAATAGGACCCTATTGAAGAGAAAGGCCCCAAAATCAGGGGTGGGGAGTGGGGGGTAATAGGACCCTATTGAAGAGAAAGACCCCAAAATCAGGGGTGGGGGGTGGGGGGTAATAGGACCCTATTGAAGAGAAAGGCCCCAAAATCAGAGGTGGGGGGTAATAGGACCCTATTGAAGAGAAAGACCCCAAAATCAGGGGTGGGGGGTGGGGGGTAATAGGACCCTATTGAAGAGAAAGGCCCCAAAATCAGAGGTGGGGGGTAATAGGACCCTATTGAAGAGAAAACCCCAAAATCAGGGGTGGGGGGTGGGGGTAATAGGACCCTATTGAAGAGAAAGACCCCAAAATCAGGGGTGGGGGTGGGGGGTAATAGGACCCTATTGCAGAGAAAGGCCCCAAAATCAGGGGTGGGGGTGGGGGGGTAATAGGACCCTATTGAAGAGAAAGGCCCCAAAATCAGGGGTGGGGGGGTAATAGGACCCTATTGAAGAGAAAGACCCCAAAATCAGGGGTGGGGAGTGGGGGGGTAATAGGACCCTATAGAAGAGAAAGACCCCAAAATCAGGGGTGGGGAGTGGGGGGGTAATAGGACCCTATAGAAGAGAAAGACCCCAAAATCAGGGGTGAGGGGTGGGGGTGTAATAGGACCCTATTGAAGAGAAAGGCCCCAAAATCAGGGGTGGGGAGTGGGGGTAATAGGACCCTATTGAAGAGAAAGACCCCAAAATCAGGGGTGGGGGGTGGGGGGTAATAGGACCCTATTGAAGAGAAAGGCCCCAAAATCAGAGGTGGGGGGTAATAGGACCCTATTGAAGAGAAAGACCCCAAAATCAGGGGTGGGGGTTGGGGGGTAATAGGACCCTATAGAAGAGAAAGACCCCAAAATCAGGGGTGGGGGGTGGGGGGTAATAGGACCCTATTGAAGAGAAAGACCCCAAAGTCAGGGGTGGGGGGGGGGGGTAATAGGACCCTATAGAAGAGAAAGGCCCCAAAGTCGGGGTGGGGGGTAAAGGATATTGCAGAAAAGGCCCCAAAGTCGGGGGTGGGGGGCGGTAACACAGGCTCTGCGAGGAGACGGGCATTGAAACTGGGGACTGAGGCGGAAGCGGCGCCCGGGGCAGGCTGGGAGTTGTAGTTCCTGAGTCTCCCGGGAGCGGAAGTGACGTCAGACGGGGAGGCGGAGCCGGGCTGGGCTCGCGCGGGGCCGGGGAGCGGTTGGGGCCGTTGGAGCTCTGGGCATGCGCAGGTCGCGGGGGCGGGGGGGCGGCGCGAGACCTTCGTTAACCCCCCCGTGCCCGGCCCGGGCCCCGCTCCCGCCGGAGCCGCCCTGGGGCCGCCCCGGGCTCCGCCCGCCCCGCTGCGGCGCTGCAGCCTCCAGGTACCGGAGCGAGCCCCGGGGGGGCCGGGCGGTGACTCTGCCCCGGGTCCGGGGGGGGACCCGGCCTCTCGCAGCGCCGGGATCTGCCCCCGGGGGGGCCGGGCGGGGGGGAGACCGGGGGGGGGCAGGAGAAGGGGGGCGGGGGGGGAGACCGGGGGGGCAGGAGAAGGGGGGCGGGGGGAGACCGGGGGGCGCAGGAGAAGGGGGGCGGGGGGAGACCGGGGGGGCAGGAGAAGGGGGGTGGGGGGAGACCGGGCGGGGGGGCAGGAGAAGGGGGGTGGGGGGAGACCGGGGGGCGGGGGGAGACCGGGGGGGCAGGAGAAGGGGGGCGGAGGGGGAGACCGGGGGGGGCAGGAGAAGGGGGGCGGGGGGAGACCGGGGGGGGCAGGAGAAGGGGGGCGGGGGGAGACCGGGGGGGGCAGGAGAAGGGGGGCGGGGGGGGGCAGGAGAAGGGGGTGGGGGGAGACCGGGGGGGGGGCAGGAGAAGGGGGCGGGGGAGACTGGGGGGCAGGAGAAGGGGGGCGGGGGGACCGGGGGCAGGAGAAGGGGGTCGGGGGGAGACCGGGGGGGGGGGCAGGAGAAGGGGGGCGGGGGGAGACCGGGGGAAATCTCGGCGCAGCCCGGACGTGGCCGGGGGGGGGAGGAGCCGGGGCCCCCCGGGGAGCAGGGAGAGGCGGGGGGGGGCTGAGATCCCCTCGGATTTACCGCTGCCCCCTCCCCTGGGACCTCCCGCCCTGCCCCCTTTCTGTCCCCACAGCAGCGAGGGGGAGCCCGGGTGCCCCCCCCAGGTGCTGCAGGGCCCCCCACAAAATCCAGGGTCCGGGAGCGGCGGAGCCCCCGGCTGAGGTCGGGCCCCTGTCGCGCCGGGCTCTGCACAGACCCTGTCGAGGTCGGGGCCCCCTTGGGACAGGGGCTGCGCAGACCCCCCGGGTACCCCCACCTGCCATTCGACGCCCGCCGCTGGCCCATGCCGCCGGCTCGGGCGCCCAGGGCTCGGGCGAAGGGGCTGGTTCAGGGCAGGGCAGGGGTCTGGGCTCGGGCTGGAGGACCCTGCGAGGTGGGAGGGGGCCGGGCCTTGGGCTGCAGCCCAAGCCGGACCATCGACGCCCCCATTCAACAGCCCCGCAGCCTGAGCCCTGTGAGCCCCTGTCCGCGGGCACGGGCCGGCCGCCGGTGCCCACCTGCAGGGTAGACGTGCCCACAGCGACCGAGGGTCCTTGCCACAAAAACCCCAAAGGCTAAATCGGGAAATGGTGGGCGGCTGCTCTCCGTTTTACAGATGGGGAAACTGAAGCTCAGAGAGCTGAAGTAAGTTGCTCAATTTTTCTTAGAGCATTTGGGGAGAAACTTTGGAGATATTTGCTGCTAGCAGTCGCAGATCAGCTACATGGCATTGTAGGCAGTCCCATCGTACCATCCCCTCCATAAAGGTATCCAGCTCAGTCTGGAAACCAGTGGGTTTTTTTGCCCCCACTGCTCCCCTTGGGAGGCTGTTCCAAAACTTCACTTCGATGGTTAGAAACCTTCGCCTGATTTCAAGCCAAAACTTACTGATGGCCAGTATCCATTTGTTCTAGGGTCAACATTGGTGCTTAACCTAAATAACTCCTCTCCTTCCCTGGTATTTATCCTTGTGATGTATGTATAGAGAGCAATCCTATCTCCCCTCAGCCTTCTTTTGGTTCGGCTAAACAAGCCAAGCTCTTTGAGTCTCTTCTCATAAGGCAGGTTTTCCATTCCTCGGGTCATCCTAGTAGCTCTTCTCTGCACCAGTTCCACTTTGAATTCATCCTTCTTAAACATGGGAGACCAGAATGGCCCACAGTATTTCAGATGAGGTCTCATCAGTGCCTTGTATAACAGGACTAACCCTTCCCTGTGTCTACTGGAAATACCTCGCCTGATGCATCCTAGGACTGCATTAACCTATTTCACGGCCGTGTCCCATTGGCAGCTCATAATTATCCTGTGGTCAACCAATACACCTAGGTCTTTTTCCTCCTCTGTCACTTCCAACTGATAAGTCCCCAGCTAATTGCAAAAATTCTTGTTATTGGTCTCTAAGTGAATAATTTTGCACTATTAATTTTCATCCCATTTCTATTACTCCAGCTTTCTTCAAGGTCATGCAGATCTTGGATGATATTCCTGGCCTCCTCCATGTTGGCAATCCCTCCCAACTTTGTGTCACCCCCACTTTTTGTGCCAAGGTCACTAATAAAAATGCTGAATAAGATTGGTCCCAAGATTGATCTCTGGTAAACAGGGGGAAAATACACAAACCAAACCAGCCAGAGAGAGAGGACTTTGGTTTTACCCCACTGGCTAACCACAAGTCACACAAGCAATTCCCCTAGGCCCTCCCTGAATGTTTGTTTAAATCACTTGGTGGTGGCAGCATACCGTCCAAGGACAAAAGGAATTTGTACCTTGGGGAAGTTTTTAACCTAAGCTAGTAGAAATAGGGGGTCTTTCATGCGGGTCCCCACATCTGTACCCTAGAGCTCAGAGTGGGGAGGGAACCCTGACAGCTGCTGGGTGATTCTAAAGTGCTGCTTCCCTCTCCTGTTCTTTTTCTTATGGTGGAATGGGAATAATGGTCATGCTTTCCAATGCCTCTCTCCTTCTCCACCTCCTCCTCCTGCCACCATTTCCAGCTCTGTCTCCCCTTCTTGTCCATCCCCTCCAGCCCTCTCTGAGCACTGTAGGACCCAGTAGCTGTCAGCTGTCCTAGGCGCTGCACACACGTATTACAGGCAACAGCTGCATATGGTCTGGTGCATGTTACCTTGGACCTGAGGTAGCTTGATCTGCACACTGAGCTGGGTCCCTCACTGCTACTTCCAGCTGGGCCTCCTGCCCCTGGTCCAGCTCTGCCCAGTCTGCCCCTCCCCTGTACACTCTGGCCTGCCCCTCCATACCATACACGGGTGACATCTACCTTTAAACTATTCATATTTTGGAATTCAGATGATTAAATTTGTGTTACCTTGAGCTCCCCGACCCCAGTTTCAGTTGTTTGGTGGTGCCCCCATGGTTTTCCATTGATAGTTTGGGAGGGAGCAAGGCTGGTCACTTGAGCACTGTGTTACCTTGCCAGCTGACTCGTGAGAAGTGACAATTCCCTCTTGGGTGGATGGGCCAGTCCCGGGACCTGTTACCTCTCAGTGATTGATTTTCCATTCCAAGTCCATAAAGTAAATTTTCAATATAAACACTTCTTTCGTTACATATGACCCATACATTGATCTCTCAGTCGTTATGAGTCTTGAGCAGTTACGAGCTTTCTGGAGACACCTCACATGACCATCCTCAGAGAGATGTGTTTGGTGTGATGGGTTTGTCAGGTCTCAGGTGAGAACTGCTGGCAAAGACCAAGTGACCCTTTGCCAAGGGATCTCTGTGTCACTGCTAACCCCCGTAGGCCAGGGAGAGGACAACTTTCTGCCAATGGCTTTCAGGACGGGTGCTGAGTTCACTGCAGTGCCCCTCGTCCCCTCTCCATTTCCCTTCTCGGTGTGCTGTCTGGGATGCTGCCCCGCTTCCTGCTCCCCAGGCCACCCCGTATCTATTCCATGTGCCAGGCTGCTGGCATCCCCCAGTGAGAGACTGTCCAGCCCATCGAACTGGTGCCAAACTGCTGGGCCTCCCTCGGGTAAGGCAGAGCCCTGAATGTTGCCAGCCCTCTCTTTGGGGCTGGAGATCCTCTACAGACTGTTCCCTTCCCAGGGTTGTCCCCCTCTGAGTAGAGTAGGTCTCTCCTGTTAACTCCTGCTCCAGTCCTGGCATGGTTTGCAGGTGTGGAGGATATGGCCAGTCCAGATTACGGCAGCAGTTTAACCCCTTCTGTGACAGTGTGGGGTTTATATAGCCCTTCACAGGCACCTAGGCCGAGGGAAAGACTCCCTATCAGCCCCATGCCTGATGTGGTGGGGAGACCCACTGGCAACATTGCCTTTGAGGGGGTGCTGCTCCCTCCTGCTCCCACTCCCTCCCCTCCCCTTTACAGCCACCACAATGCCTGTCACCTTCACTTCCTGAAGGCCTGAGGGGTGACCCCCGGAAGGTGTGTTTTGTTATCCCTTTCCCTACCCCCGCCCCCCAAGGATCCATTGTGCACCCTCCGTAACTCACCTCTGTCTCAGGAGACAAGGTTGGTCATGGGGCATGGGTGATTCTATGCTGGAGATCCATCATCACTGAACGAGTGGCAGCCTTGACCCTCCTCGAAGGTTGCCGGGATGCTGATGTGCACTGGAGGAGAACTGGGGCTTGACTGAGTCCATGGACCATTTGGCCCACACGGTGTCACTGGAAAGCCTGCTCTGCGTGGCTGCCAATTGCTGCTGGAGGCGTTGCGCCCGTAAGTCCCTGTAACGCTGTCTTCAGTGACCCAAGAGCATGAGCACCAGCCTCAGGCAGACTGGTAAGAAGCAGGGAACAAACCCCAAATTGATTGTGAGGTCAATATGTAGATTTCACCAGCCAAGTATCCGGTGTAAAGGCTTCAGGCACTGTAACAGCATTAACATGGAATCACAGACAGTCCCCTTGGGTCATCCCGTAGATCTCACCATGTAGGTGAGCTCACCTTTGTGACGGATGGTCCCTTACACCAGGGGTTCTCCACCTTTTTCTTTCTGAGGCCCCCCCAACATGCTATAAAAACTCCACGGCCCACGTGGGCCACAATAACTGGTTTTCTGCATAGAAAAGCCAGGGCTGGCATTATGGGGTAGCAAGCAGGGCAACTGCCTGGGGCCCCATGCCACAGGGGCCCCCACAAAGCTACATTTCTTAGGCTTTTGGTTCAGCCCCTGGTGGTGGGGCTCAGGGCCCTGGACTTCAGCCTCATGCGCTGGGATTTCAGCTTTCTGCCCTGGGCCTCAGCGAGTCTAATACAGGCTTGCTTGACAGCCCCCTGAAACCTGCTAGTTTCTAATACAGGCTTGCTTGACAGCCCCCAGTGGGCCCCCGACCCCTGGTTGAGAACCACTACC